AGGGGGGGCCTGCCCCTCCCCCGCCGTGACCGTGTTGGGTTCGGGTTCGTGAATCTGTATGTACGTGTGTTCTGGTACAAAGGGGCGAAATCACAGAAGTGCGTGGCTGTATCCCTCTGTTTGTTGGAACTGAGCCTAGCCTGTGCCTGAATGTAACGCGCAGAGGTGTTACTAAGCTTTGCAGAACAATTCAGTCACAGCATACACACCACACCCAGCCCCCCGGTTAGAATAGAAGCAGGTGGAAATGAAGACTTGAGACTTTCTGAATAATTTCCGTCCCTATTAAAGCTGAAGCACTTTAATCTTTACTTCATAAGTCCCTAAATAGAATAGGAGCTGATTCAGGATTGTCTGAAACAAGGTCATTAAACTGAAATTATCTCTTCAGACAGTACTACTTTATGTTACAACAGAAGAGGCTGATTTTAATGCTTTTCCCTTTATTATACATATCCTAAATAAATTGAACAGTTTTCAGTTCACAGACTGCCACAGGCTGTCATGAATGTGTTTTGTTAAAGTCACCATTCGGCTTTGTAGCTTTTGCATCCACTCACCTTAATGATGAAGAAGTTGAAGAGAAATTGTTCTTTCATGCTGAATACATACTAGACCAAAGTAACCTCCATTAAGAACCCAGGTACATGTCACCACCCAAACCAAGGATATTTGTGAAGGAAGGGGCATTTCCCAGCAAAAATGATTGCGTGTCATATGAGAAGAAGTGCAGGAAAAACATGATGGAAATAGACAGGGTGTGGAAAGCCAAGGCAACAGTCTGAAAAAATTTGAAAATTTAAACTCGGAGAAATCTAGAGTGATTCTCATGGCTAAAAAGAAGTGAGTTAGAAGAAAAAATGTGCCAGATTTTCTTGAATAAAATATGGATCAAACAGAAGGAAGAGCTTCTATAACGTTTGTATAAAAACAAGTTCGCAACAAAGTGCCCAGCTTTATTGCAATTCTTTCCTCTTAAACAAACCTTGACTAAATTTTGAGGTTGAAACGCACTCTTGTCAAGCACGAAACGCAGAGTTCTAAGAAATGGAGCTGGTATTCATGTGAGTAAATAACAGAACTCTTGGGATGCTCATCAGAATTCAAAACAAAAGCTTGAAGGAATTTAAGCAGCATCTTCTGGGTGGAAGGGGTTTTACAAAATGCATGTCAAAATGCTTAGACAGATTGGGAAGTCCAGGTGCAACACTTCTTGTCTGGAAGGGCAGGATGGTCGCACAGCAAGAGCTGTCCTGCTGTCCCAGGGCTATCCAGGGTCAGAGCTAACTCTCACATCCCATATTGTGTTGCCATATGCTAATAATCATATTGGGATCTTTTAGTATGTTGTAAGTGACACAGATTTGTCCTACTAGAGAGACACTTAGAAGTGGCACCTTCCAGCCTACAGCAGAGAGTACAAAGAGAATAGGAGCTTTTGAATAATCAACACTTTCTTCTTTTATGTTGCTTTCGTAAACAGTAATAAACAAATTAGGGAAGGCATGATGAGTGGCTAAAGCTGTAAAAAGAGCAGAATCAGCTCTCTAGGCTGATGTGTGTCTCCACGTGTCTTTAACCCTTTTGTGTCTTTGAACGGAGACAGATGTCTTCTATTGAGTAAGCTGAGCTGAGAGGTGCAGGCAGTCAGCCTGGAGCCCCAAGCCCTGGCATTTAAGCAGTCCTTCAGGAGCTGTTGGCACCTGTGTGTTATGCACTCCAAAGATTGTTTAAAAGACTCAATCCCTATAGTGGCTTATCTTCAGTTTTGTCATGAATATGACTATATCCAGCCTGATTAACTGGCTAATGAATATTCCCCATTGTTGTCCTCAGAAATTCAAACCAGAACTGAATCCTTTTCCCAGCAGTCTCAATTAGTGTCTGTGTAACTTTCTTTACCCCTAAGACTAGTGGAGGTGATACAGTTTGAAAGCTAGCTGCTTCTGAATGTTCAGTCACTCTAGCAGAAGGTTTCTGTCAAGAGTCCAATCAATGAATGTCTTTTCATTTTAATATGTTATTATGAGAACCTTTTTGGTAATTTGATCTACTGTAAGCTGTGGCATGGATCTTCTAGGGCTTGTGCATCCTGCATTTTTGCAATGTAAGTTTAAACAAGTTAAGATTTCTGTAGAGGAAAATGGGCCAGGCAGATATAAAACAACAATGTAAAACACCTGGGAGCAATGAAAGCTCATAGTACTTCTAACAAACATAAAATAGCAGTCTCTTTGTCCAAGCACGAGACCAACAGTTAAGAAATCATGAGTTCTAGTTTTAGCTCTCTCGGTGACTTAATACAAGACATTGAGTAAGTCACCTTGGTTTGCTTTGACTCAGATCTTCCCCTAGTAGTCAGAGCTGGAAAGGCTAAGACCGCTCATATTTATAAACCATTGGTGATCCTTGGTGCTGTGGTGTTATCTACCATGGTTGTATTGATACTGCTCACAAGATTGGTGAGGGTACCGTAAGAGGTATCAATGTTCTATATTTGTGTGTCACTGGAGTTTTAAAACAATTTTTTTCCTTCTCCTTTTTGTAGTATTACTGTAACACATCACCAAAATGAGTGACAAGGAAGACCAAGAAGATCCAGCAGATATGGGTGATTTAACAGAAAGTGGAGAATATGAAGATGATTTTGAAAAAGACCTCGAATGCCTAATTAATGAAGAAGAAAAAGAAAACCTTGGTGAAAGAGAGGTATTCGTTAAATTAAATGCTAGTTGTCTTATTTAGAAGACAAAATTGAGTAATATTTGGAATCATAAGCACAAAATTCAATATGGTTTGAAACATGTAGGCACATTCACTGACTTTTGACAAGGAAGTTTATTTGGAATTGTAGTGAAAAACCAATTCAGTGAACTGGTTAGTTTGGTTATAATTGCCTTAAAACAGAAAATTCAGTGTTCATGGAAAAGAGTATGTTTGTTTCAGAAGTACTTATGGGTTCCTTTAAGTGTTTGTGCAACACATGTGCTGGTTTTATGCTGTCACTGATCACTTTACTGCGCAAGCCATGGTTAAAGTTTGTGCATGGAGAAACTGCAAGAGTTTTAGTGCCAAAAAAGCTATTAGTTATGACATGCGCTATTTGACAGCCTGTTTTAGAATTAGGGTAGTTAGTACTGCTTTTCTTGCTCGCTATTTCTTTTCTCTTTCTCTGATACTGTTGTTTGTTGGGAGAACAGACTAGTTTACCTTAATTTTTTTTAGAATCCTGAAAAAAATGAAGAGGATATTGAAGCACAAATTATTAAAGTTGCGGCCAGCTTTGAGGAAGACAATGAGGAAATGGAAGAAAATCCAGATCAGCTTTCAGAGGCAGATGTAGATGCAAAAGTGAGACCCTCCAATGAAGAAAGTTTGGAATCCAGGTCTGATATGAAACAGGGGGACCGTGTATCTGATACTGATAGTGAAAGCTCTATCCAAGAATCCAGGCTGGAAAACCAGCAGGAACTGGATGAAGAGGAGGATGAAGAAATAAAGCGTTACATCTTGGAAAAGATTGAAGAAGCCAACAAACTGCTGGAGAATCAGGCTCCTGTGGATCAGAACAGAGAACGGAAATTAAAATTTAAGGATAAGTTGGTGGATCTTGAAGTTCCTCCTCTAGAAGATGCTGAAGTTTGTAAAACTGACCTTGCAAGAGGAGATGATGTTTCAAATAGGCTATCTCGGTTGCATATTTCTAATGAAATGGGTCAGGAAAGCACATCACTTTCACCATGTGCTGGCAAGGATGAGGAAAAGAAGGATGGTAAAATCCTAGTGGAAAAAGATGGGAAGTTTGAACTCTTAAGTTTACGTGATATTGAAAGTCAGGGCTTTTTGCCCCCAATAAGTGTTTCTTTTACTGATATTGAAACTCAACAAATGTCTCCAAAATCTTCACACTACGGTCCTTTTGGCACTGTCTCTCCAGTGAAGGAAGTACCTCCAGTAAGACCAGGAGCACATTCTTTTTCTCCTGGTGGAGAAGAGTGTGTGTATTTCCCTAAGCCTCCATCTAACCCTAAGCGTCGTCCAAATTCTGCTATCAATGCTGCAAGAGGTTTGGGAAAACGGAAGACTCCGCAGAGGGCGCAGTCTGCAAATGTGCCCGTGAGAAGCTCCACTTACTGCCTTTCTCCCAGACAAAAAGAATTGCGGAAGCAGTTAGAGCAAAGGAAGGAAAAACTGAGGAAAGAGGTAAAGATATAGAGGCAACAAGTAGATCACAGTGACCATCCTGTTCCTCTGCTTCACAGAGACCACATGTTCAGGGCATTTACTCCATTTTTCCATGATAAAATAGGCAGCAATAACAATAATAATAACAATTCTCTGGAGTTTGTCCAGAATCTCTCAAAACTCCTCTCCTTAAAAGAAAAAAACAAAACTCACAGAGTGGCCTAGGATCATGGCTTGCTCACAGTAGAAATTAAGTATTTATTTAATATATCCTTCATAAATAGGCCGCCTTCTGCTATATTGTGCTTACTGCTTTTGCTTATTGACTCTCTTTCTACCTAGGTTCCATTACAGGCCCACTGTTTACTGGAACATAGCACATGGTATCGCCTCTCCCCAGATTACACTGCAATGCAGGACGTTAATGTTAACCACAGTAATGCAGGGGCACATTTGGGTGCTCATGAAGTATGTAATAGGCAATTACCAAAGGGGACAGTGTTCAGCTGTAAGATTTACACAGGAGAATGACTGTGAGAACTGTGAACAAAGAGGGGTGTGCTTAACATATATGGAAGATACAGCTGACTTCAAAAGTGGCATGCCTTGTTGCTTGCATAAGATGCACGCTGGTGAAGTCACATTGACTGATAATATAACTGGGTACTTTTTTCCTGTAAAGGTTTTGTGTGGGTGAGTGTTGTAGTAAGTTTTCTCAATGAGTTTGTTGCCAAGTAGTTTTTTCTCCCCTTTCTCTGTTAATCGATACTACCTTTCCTTCTTACTTGGTTTTACCTGGGCACTACACAGAGGACAAAAAGAAGAAAATATTCCCAGTACTGAGGTTATTCTTCTTGTATCTATAAAGAGCAGTAATCTAAAAGAAAAAAAAACAAAAAACCTCTATTGTAGAAAATCAAATCAGTATCTATCTTATGTATTACTGGGGAAAACAACCTTTTTAATTCTTTCTCAGCTCCTTATTAAGAAAAAATTAATACTTAATCAGCCTCTGACAGCTGTAACAGGAACTTCAGAAATCTTTACCATATGTTTTAAAAACCTAGATGTTTTTCTTTGCTTTGCATTATGATGATACAATTACAAAAAGGTAACTTACTATGTGTCTTGCTCTGTTAAAAAAAGATCAAGAAGCATCTACTATTTTTCTGTGCCATGATGTTCGAAGTAAGCTGGCTAAGTAGCTTCAAAGGTTATTTTCTATCTGTGGCAATAGGTCTAGCCTGCTTTATTTGAAAAGTTTGCTGAGGCTTAGCTCAGTAACGAGGGGTGTGAAATGTGAAGAGTTACTGATGTGTTTTCTTTGTACATGCAAGACTAGATCTCTTGACACCATACTCTGCACATTTAAAGTAAAAGGTAGGGTGGTGGAAGTAAGGAAGGTTATTTTCCTAACACTGTGTGCTAAATCTCTTCCTCTGTTGGCTGACTTACAAAAAGGTAAGACTGTATTACCTTATTTCTTCATTCTGTGATGGATTTCACAGGCATGAAACATTTCTTGACATTACTGGAATCCATCTGCTTCATTTTGGTGGGGTTTCTTCCATTTCAGTGAATTACAAATTGTAAATTTGGAGGATAGCCTGAAAGTTGTGTGTAGGTGGGAGGAAAATCATCTCTTCACAAGGAGACTAGATTTCTCCGAGTGTTGAAATGAGTGGGGATTGTAGCTTTTGTGTCAGAGTGTCAAAACCTGGTAAAATGTCCTAATCAGCTTTCTGAAGTGTTTGAAAACCTTTTTCCTCCTTGTAGATAATTGTCATTAGCTAAAATGTGATTAATAATTAAAAAAAAACCTTTCTCAATTTTGTAAAAATCAGTTCATTTTGTAAACTTGAAAAAAGTGTTAAGCTATTAATAGTCCTTAAGTAAATACAACCTCATGTCCAGAAAAAATCCTTAATTATAAGGTAGTGCCTGAAGTCCATAGGTAGTTAATTGTCATTTGGGGTTTAGTGGTCCCTCAAGCCTGAGAGCTGCATTCATTTTTAAAATGCATGCTTAAACTGATTTTAAGCCAGTCAGAGCTATTGGGCAGATGTAATTTTAGAAGTGTTCACCTGTTGCTATTGAATTGTCTGAGTTGAGATGTATCATGGAAATAGAGTTAATCGCCAAAAGGGTTAGACTGAAGTATCTGAACGTAACCTGAACCGCAGAAGTGCATAAACTTGTTTCTTCCTAAAAGTAGTATCAACTATGATGCAGTCTTTGAGTATTCCTGTTTCACCTGTATTTTTGTGTCTCCCTCATATAATTCATTATATTTTATTTATTGTCTATGAAGACCTTTGCAGATTAAGATGATTCTCTTAAAAACTAAGTTTATTCACTCTTCATTCTACTTAAGGAAGAAGAAAGGAAAAGGGAACAAGAAGAACAGAAGAGAAGAGAGAATGAGATGGTTTTTAAAGCTTGGTTACAGAAGAAGAAAGAACAAGTGCAAGAAGAAAAGCGAATTCGTCGTGCAAAGGAGCTAGAAGACTTGAACAGCAAAGTAAGATCTCCCTGATGTAGGACTGGGATCTATGGTGCTCTTGTTAGATAGGAAAACCCCATTCTAAGCCTTTGTTCTTAGCTAAGCATATGAAAATTTACAGAGATGGGAAATGTTTTTGTTACATTGTTTTCAGTGAAGAGCTAGATCCACTTGCATGTTTAGGATTGTTCTGCTTGCATTGTAGAAGCTACATAGATGAACTTAATAGCTATAAAATCACAGGAGATACAGCGATGCTCCTTTTTATCAGGAGAATGACTTGATTGAACCTGCAGTGAACAAAGAGCCAGAAAACTCTTTGAAGTGTATTCCTTACCATCAGAACTTCTTGGCAAGCAATTAATGCATGTGACCTGACCAAAACCTGAAGATTCAGATGTTCTAAAGTTCCTCTGCCTTGCAGTGATGGTCTTGAAAAGCTAAATTCAGTATTTTTTAAGACATACTGCTTTGAATGCTTGCTCACGTGTATATTCCATGCCAGATTAGCATATGCTCTAGCTTGCTTGTAAAGTATGTTTCATGGATGGGAGATGCCAGCAGAGTTCAAAAAATTATTATAACGTGATTAATATAAATGTAATTTAATGATAAGCTTTGTGTATATGTCTTTTTTTAAATAGGAAAGGAGCAGGAATCCAGAAGAAGCCTTCAAGTTATGGCTTAAAAAAAAGCACCAAGAACACATGAAAGAAAAACAGATAGAAGTTTTGAGACATCAAGCTGAGGGAATTGCCTTTTTTCCAAGAACAGAGGAATGCAACAGAGCCTTTAAAGAGTGAGTAGGGTCATTCCTAGGGAATCATATTTGAAAATTTTGTAGTCTATCAGCTTAAGACTGTAGTTATTTTACGGTACATCTTTAGTCCTTGTTGTTTTGGGTTTTTGCATGAATATGCCCTCATAAACTTACACCCTACCAAAAATACATCAATTCCTTGATGTTGTTTGTTCACTGTTGTGAAATTACTTGTCAGAACCTGAGCTGAAATAAACAGTGAGTTACTTCTGCTGAAAAAGGGAGATCCTTCTCCCCTGCCCCTTTTTGCCTGTTCTGGAACAGGCTTGGGTTGATTCATTAAACAAGCAGAAAATTAATCCAATAAAATTACTTTTTTCCCCTCAAGTCTGTGAGTTGAGTCAGCTCAACAAAAGGAGGGAGGTAAAGCTGCGTGCAGGAGAATTGGGATGGAAAAGTAGTGCTTCCCATGTTTAGGGGTGGCAGGCTTTTAGACTGACTCAGCCATGCTACCTAACTTTATCCTATAGGACAAGGTGACTCTAATGGGGGCAAGTCTCCTCTGAGTGGATGACGTAAAACTTTCACTTGCAACTGTCAGTACTTCTAGTCCTCTTTCTCTCCACAGATGGCTAAAAAGAAAGAGAGAAGAAAAACGCGCAGAAGAACTAGCTGCTAAAGAGAGAGCAAGGCAGCTTAGGTTAGAAGCCAGAAGAGCAAAACAGATGCAGAACATCCACTGTATTAGTTCAGAGCCAAAATCCTTTCGCTTCACAGACCATTACAGTTGAAAGTTTGATGTAACCAGAGTTCTTAGTGGCAACCCTCTTTAACTTTTATGGCTTGAGCTTTTGCTCTTTCTTGTGGTGTTTTTAAAGCTTTCAAGCAAGTTTAACAGTTAATTACCTTCACTGACAATGATTTTACTATCTATTTATTTGTAATTTTGTTGAAAAGCCTGCTTTTATGTATAACTCAGGGATCTTCTTGGTTTGACCAACTCTAAATGAGTGTGAGATCTATATATGAGGGTGGCAAATACACATTCCTGTCTTTAAAAGGCACTTTATACTCAACATCACCATGAATTCCTGGATGCAGGCTATATTATGTAAAATGTTGATGTCTTGCTGGATTAATATTGTTGTTTGCTGCTGCTTGCGATAAAGACTGTACAAGGTGCTACGTTGTTGGAAAATGCTGTTTCTGGTACTGTTTCCTATTGATCAGCTGTTAATTCTGGCTAGACCAGAGGACTATTTTATTTTGGTTTGGGGAAAGTGGTCATTGAAGGCTAACATGTAAGTGAACGTGCATCAGTTTTTGAATCTTGATTTCTGTGAGTTTTAGTAGCTTTCTATCCCATGAAGTTAAAAGGTTGTCTGAAATTATGACCTTTACCATTATCAGGGACACTAGATTCCTTGCATACAGATCCATGTTTGCTAAATTAATTGTAATAAACTACATCACCTTGCCCAGCTGAATTGTGAATTCTTGTCAGAGAACATGCTGAGGTCACTCATGAAATCATAAAGTTAGTGGAATATGAGGAGCATTCTGTCCAGCTATGTGTCAACAGACTTCAATGTGGCATTGTTCTTACCTTTTTACCACATTCAAAGTGTTTTCTGGAAGTACTGCTACAGACAGAAGGGGAATAGATGCAAAGTCAATTTGCTGTTAGTAGTTTTCTCTTACCCTTTTGAAGACAGTCACAGGCATATTAAGAGAGTACTGGTGTTTGACCAGAGGGTGCTGTGTTGCAGCTTTTGCCAGCATAGATAAAGGGCATGGACGTAACATGAGAATTTCACATGCTAATGAGAAACATGAGTAACAGGTTCCTTCCTCTACCTTCCCCTGACACCAAGGGCAAGAAATGCTTCTTGTGTCTAGCAAGCAAACACAGGGGGAAAATTTGCAAAGGTTCACGGCCTCTCCCTAACTGTAGTAAGCTACAAAATAAGTGCTGCTTGGTTCATTACCTCAGACCAGTAGAGTGAAGGGTTTTACAGTTCAATGTCATACAGTTCCTTTTATGCTGCAGAGAAAACAAGGTCAGAAATACAGCTATATTAAATCCAAAACTGCAACTTGAAAGGAAGCAAAGAAAGTTTATTGTAGCTTTCTTCATGCAAACCAAAGCAGGGCCAGCAACAGCAAGAACTTGTAACTCACATACTCTGATTATGGTATAAGATCCAAAGGAAAACTGGGTAACAGCAACCATTTCAGAAATACTTTCCCCAAACTAGACACTTACATATGATAAATTTCAGAGTGAAACTAAGAAATTAAAATGTATATTTGCATCCTCCTACCTTTCCTCTTTACATTTGCAACTTAAATAGGCTTCTTTGGATTTAGCAGATTATCTGCTAAAAGTTCTTTTCGAACCTACATCAAGATTATAAAACCATACAAGTAAAAAAATATATTTTTTTTTTACCAGTATCTGTGCAAACTTAGTGCTTATCTTCAGCTTCCCATAATGCCCAGGAAGACCTTGGGCAAGGACCGAGTTCTAATGCTAGGTCAGGTTTGAACACTATGTACTAACGGAGGTATATCAGTCTGTCTTTGCTGAGGATCAGCTATGCAGCAGCTTCACTCTAGAAGCTGAAATAGATGGAAAAGCCATTATTTTAGCTTTATGGAAAGACAAGAATAATCTCACCCCGCGCGGTTTTCCAGAATCCATTTAAACCCAGTTACTATTTATATATTATAGCTAGAGTTCATTCAAGCTCTTTCCCCTTCTTGCCAGGAAAGCTGCAACACTGCATATGTTCTTACTTTCAGAACTTACAGCTATGAGGAACCATTGCACATGTTCCTTTTTATTACTAAATTTAAAAGGCTGAACATAGACTTGGGGACAGTTCATCACCTTGGCTAAGATAAAAAAAAAAAAAAGCATGGAGCTGATCATTTTCCATTGCCTTTTTTTTTTTAATAAACATAACCTATCAGCAATTCATTTACTTTGGTATAGTTACACTTTTGTCTCCTAAAGAGAAATTCACTGAAATTTGCTAATAAGACTGTAAGCCTTAGACAGTCAAGGGCATCTCTATGCTCTACAAATTGGACCAGCATAACATTTTTGGTCTTGCCTTTGAGGAAGAAAATAAGTAGCTTTCCAGACTGAAAAGTAGTAGAAGTATCCCAGAATCTAAGGAAATCCTGTCAGTCCCTAACTTCAAGAGGTAGAGAAGCAGAAGCTGCGTAATTTCCAATGTTAAACCCACCCATTATGGAAAGAAATAGGAAAAAGGGAAGTCTGCTGAACATCAACTAGTGTAATTCTTCAGAACAAGTGCTTGTGCAGTTGCCCTGGCTGTGGTTTTAAAGGGCTATCAGCTCTCCTTGACAGTGATTGCAACAATTGAAAGTTACATCTTCGTATCTTGTATATGGGTGAAAACGTCCAATATTCTTCTTTGTGGAAAGGAAGGAGGATGGAGAAGTCTCAGAAAAAGAAACTTCTGTTGATGTTTCTGTACGTGCAGCTGGATCCAGTACACGTAACACCTAAAGGATGGAAAAATTGAGACTGAAAATATATCTATTAAGTTTCATGGGTTTTATCCTTCTCTAACAGCTAGGAAGGAATTCTGCTCAAAAGCAATTTTTCAGGTTTTTTCCAAGTTGAAAACTAAACATCCATCTATCCAGACCCTCAATACAAAGACACTAAGTACTGTTCATAAATTAGTAATGTCCATCAGAAATCCAAGGTATGATTTTATTGAGAATAAAAAAAACCCTCTAATCTTTTTAGCAGAGTTGAGCAAAACCAGGCAAGAACACCACAGATCACTAGGCACTGTAAGCTTCCTGCTGCTCAACTATTACTCAATTGCTTCAGTCAACAGACTAAACTGTTGGTCTAGTTTGCTATTTAAACATCAAGCTTCCTGCACTGGAACCTTATCTTTAAAGACAATCATATAGCTTCTCTCTGTGTTTCCACCAACTTTCAACAGAACTAATTTTTAGGGCAACAGAAACTATGCTAAAGTGTTAGAACTTATTCCTACCTGAATTTCTTCTCCCACTCAGTTTTTAAACTCAACAAAGTATTTTCAATTGGCTTCCTCCTGACACACTAACTCTAAACAATTTTCGACCCAGTCATTTGTGGTGCTAGGGACAGAGAAGGAAACAGTAGGTATCATATTATTTACGTTGTTCTGCTTATTCTTCCAAGTTGGTTTGGTTTTTGGAGGCTTTGGGGTTCGATTTTTTGAGTGTGGGGTTTTTTTGTTTGGGGTTGGTGTGTTGTAGTTTTGTTGGGTTTTTTTGATGAGGGAAACAGACAGCTCTATTCAGCATGTTTCCCCTGTAAATAGTTTTTAAAAAAGGCAAGATATTAAGCAGTTAACACAAAGCAAGGTGTTTCTTTCTGGAAAGAAGACTCCATGCTGACAGATTGAGATGTATGAAGAGTTCTTACCATTTCAGCCATTTTCTCAGCAGGGGTATTGCAAAACTCCACAGCTGTTGAAGTCTTTTTTGGACTGTTAGTACCAACATTTCCAAGAAGATGTGAGCTTACAGCTTTGGCTAGCTTACAATTCACAGCTGCTAGCTCTGTTGTAGTGTAAGGTTGGGCACTAGGATAGTACGTCTGTTGTCTCCCCCATTGAAGAGAAACCATCAGCTCCTCCAGCAGCCTGTGCAGAAAGGAAAAAAGCACTATTAGTGGTATTGTACTCTGTACTATCTGCACACAGCATACTTCAGAGGAACCATCCCTTCCCAAGACTTACTGCACAAACTAAATGTTAACCAAAAAAATGAGAATAAAAAAAAAAGTGTTTAAAAAAAGGAGGCAAACAGGCTGTTCTCCAAGGCAAAGCCTCACCAACATAGTACTTTAATACTGGTAAATCTTATTTGACATCTGGCAGGATAAGCACTAAAAAGTCAGTGCAGGTAGAAGAATCTGTATGTTTTGCAAGGAGACAGAGGAAACTTGAAGTCAAGACAGTAAGTGATTAAATAGAGAAAGCCTGGGGATATGAGGGATGTCAGTTCTACAGTATATTACCCTGAAGACCTCACACCTCCAAGGAATGAAGAAAGAATTAATGCTACTTTGGCTTTCCGCTCTGAGACTGAAAAGTGACCATACTATCCATCAGCATAACTGATTTTTATTTAATATCACTGGAACAGGGGAGTCACTTGATTCTTCTCTGGCCTAGAATAAACTGACATAAGTTTGCACAGAGGTAGTCTGGATTAGAAAAATCATACTTCTGTGTTTCAATCATCTCTTGACGGAACTGATCGCGTTCATTCAGCAAGTCCTGGATTGCACTTTGTGCATCCCTGGTTTGACGCTGAAGAACTGCTCTGGTATTGGTTAGCTCATCAGCCATAACCCTGCAAAAGAAATCTCCGATCAGTAGTGTAAGCGAGCAGTCTGAAAGTCACCTTCATTCTGCTACAGACAGTAATTTGTCAGGATTAAGCTGCTGTTCTCACTCCCCTCCCCCATATAGAGCCTATATTAAGCTAATTACAAAGGACGGGTATTAAGAATAATTTCTGTTCAACTACAGTCAACACAAGTGCAAGATTATGTTTTGACTCGCTGAGTTTAAACAATCTTATGTCACTTAATACAAATCTAGTAACAGACATTTCAAAATACCTTGGGTAAGTGAACATAGTGGACAAGGATCCCGAGAGATAAAAAGCTAAATACATTTTGTTTCACTAACAAGGTTCTCACAAGTATGCTGTAATCACATCATCTTTTCGTATTCATCTCTAAAGATGACAGCTATGGCTATAGACTGCATTCATTTACCTCTTTACCTTTCCTGGGGCAGTAACGAGACATTACATGCGCCAGATATGAGCATTTAAGAGCTACAAACGAGACAACTGTTGCCACATTTTGCTATGCCATGACGCTTGGCACTGACCCCTCAAGCAGATATTTCATATCCCCCTGATACTGCAAATGCAAAAACCAGAAGGACACTTAAACAACCACCAGTTAGAAATCTGAGATCACAATGAACCAGAACGTTGCAATATTGAAGGGTGTTACTCCAAACACATCACCAGGGACTCACATCCCTGATCTCAGAACTATTAATGCTGAAGAAACAAGTTAAGTTAGGATAGTAACTCTTGCCTAGCTAGGACTATCACAAGTAATTACCATTCACTCAATATGCTGAAACTTCTTAAGACCAACAAATTAAAGGGAGGAGACTGTACTCTATTACCATTTTCTTCAAGCAGTAAGGTCTTTTGTAATATGCATTAAGCACCATAATTAAAATTTAGTCAGTTATATCTGAGCACAGTAGAAGATTAAAAACTCTGTAATACTATTTACAGATCCGGTAAGACAACTACATTTAGGAAGTTAAAAGTCTAATCCATTGTCAAATGAGATTTTGACATTCAGAGCAGCTTTTATGGTTACAGAAGTTAACAGTAGGGTTCTTAGCAGTAACACAACCAGTGTTTAATGAAGAGGTTCCCCTGCTCTTTCTTCCATGCTGAGCTGCTCTTCCCTGAATAAGCAGAGTTCTTAACCAAATCAACTTCTTCACAAACTGGTGATTGTATCATACTGGGGGGTGGGGATGAAAATCAAGCTAATTACCTTTAATACAAGTCAAGACAGCTGTCCTGGAAGCTTTTTTTTAAACCCTAAACTGCACACAGTCTATCAGAATTAAGAATTTCCCTTGCTGTGTTGACAAGAACGGTAGTTAAGATTTTAGGAGGTTTAGGACCCACTGTATTACTTTTGAAAAGCTGAACTACTCAGATTTACAAGGAGTTTACTTTCTTTGTACCTCTTCTGTATACTCAGATTTCATCGTAGGTGTCAGTATAGCTGTTGTGGCTGTCCTCTGCGTATATAAGCACGTTGCCAGGCATTGCAATGGGTGTACATAATAAAAGACTGAAGCAGAACGCCGTTGTAACAGTTTTGTAAGAGGGCATACCTGCTTGCTAGGAATTTGCTTCGCCACACATCACATTGTATAGACATGCGCTCCAATTGTTCAGACAACTGAGACATATTCCGGCCCAGGACTTCATTTTCTAGGATTAGCTGATTTTTCTCACGAGCCATCCGTTCAAAGTGATACTGCAGATCATCCCCAACAGAAGCAACAAGTAATTTCTTCAGCTCCCGATTCACCTAGAATTAGACCAGACTGTCTTGTAGTTATCAATATAGAATGAAACACCTCCTACTTCCAGAATCCAGGGCAAGTTATTGCAAATTGCTAACAATAAATTTTCTTTCTCTTTCCAGAATGGGACACATCCAATGCAGAGTATATTAAGCCCCATAATCTACTCCAGTGAGCATAAACATTTTGACTAATGCACATTTAACACATTCTTGTTTAAATTCTAACAGAGGCCCAAAAGGAAGAACAAAAGCCTGCTATAGGAAACAAAGAAAGTTTCAGTAGTATTCAAGTCCTGAATCAGTAAGATAACAGAGGATTAGACAAGACATCCACAGATTATATTATGTAGAAAATTATAGTCACCCCTTCTATGACATAACATTTTTCACTTAGCAGTTGAGTTGAGAAGCAAAATCTTTCCTCATGAAAGATCCATTTCCCCTGCAGCCCTCTAATGTGTTTCTCCCAGATTCAAGCCTTTGATTCTTTTGTCTGTTGTCAGAGAAGCAGCACTGGATTACTTGGATGTACTCCTACTCTGTATCTTAGCTGATAAGTTCAAAAGGGAAACTATTTGTTTCAAGGCTAGGGTGTCATAGCTTATACAAACCAAAGCAGCTCAGCTGTGTGAGAGAAAATACCTTTCATTGCTTACCTCTGTCTGTATACGCAGCTGATTAGAGAGACCTTCTTTGTCCTGTAACAACCGCTTTTCTGAATTCTTTAGCTTTTCGATTGCATGTTTCAGCTCTACCTGTTCTTTCTTGGGATCTGTGGCTCCACCTGACTGATGGAATGTGTCTCCTTTATGTCCCACTGACTTAGCTACTTTACCATTTTTAGTTGGAACAACATGAGTGATAGCTGCTTTGGGGACTAATATACGAATAGCTTCAATCTCCACTGATTTATCAGCATGTACTTTCCCTAGCTGCAGAACTCCAGGACTCAGGGAAGAGACTGTCTTTTTATGTGGGCTGTGGTGGATGTGATGGTTTGCAGTGTTGGCTCCAGAGATTCCTTCCACAGATTCAGCTGTCTGCTCTGTTTCCATGCCATCTCCAGGTCCTCGGATGGGTGATGAGGCATCGTCAACTGAAATTTAGAATTAGCAGATTGAAAGTTTACTACCTTTCACTTTGCTATAGTCTCATTGTAACTCTTCATTTAATTTCTGTACTTGAAAGTTACAGATTTTAATTGCACACTGCATGTGTAAAACAGTCCTTTGCAGCAGCAAATACCAAGCACAAGTTAGAGAAGTCCTTACTCAAGTGTGTATTGCTCATTAATACTAATAGTACAAGACACAAACATTGATCTGTATTGTATTAATCTTAATTTCCTGCTGCCATACAAGATTAAATGCAGACACAAAAGAGAGCTAGTACGGAGAAAATTCTTGACAATATTACTCATAGGCTGAAAGCAAAACCAGTTTTTGGGAGCTGACAGAATCAGAGTGGTCTCATTTTAAAAGCAAGAAGTAAATGAAAAGCAATTATTAGCTACATTGCTACTAACACCTTAAGAAGTTTAGCAGGCTTTTAAGCGCTATCTACCATGTGTTTTAGTTGTCCAAGTGAAGGTTTAAAAGCCAACAAGCCAGTTCTGATTCATTTCTAATCAATAGACCCCAGTATTCCCAGTAATGCTGCATTCTGCTCTGAATTCCCCAATATGCATGATAATGTTTACTAAAATTAATTTTATTTAAGTTCATTAAGTTTTCAGCTGAATGAAATATTCTTGTAGTAAAGTTTCCTCACAATGGGTGAAAGCAAGAAAGTTTCTTAGAACATAGCTACACATACTGCTTTTTTTCCTCATACTGCAGGCAGTAATGTGAGCCTGTGTCCTCTATCAAAATAATGAATTTAAAAAATGGTGTAGTAACACCATTATATTGCCCTACTTTCAAGTTGGCTGAATCAGTACCAACAGGTTCCAAATACTAGAGGAGGACTGACAAGACAAGCGTACAGACAGATGACAGTACCAGTGACAAACTTGTTTTTGAATACAAAGCTGGATTAGTAAACTACATTCAATTAGCTGTTCCATCCAGGCAGCTCTGGTTTTCATTGCAATAATGAAGTCACTTAACTACTTCCTAGTAGCTACATAAAAGGAATAAGTTTAAATGAATGGAGCCTGGCATACAGTGTACCTCTGGTCTTTAGAATTCAAGTTAAGGTACTTTTAATCCAGTCTGCTTAGATACCATGTGAACCACCTACCTTTTTCTAGAGATGTCATTTTCTCTTTCGCAGTCAGCTCTTCCAAACTACTTAAGTCCGAAGAGGAAAAGAGGAGGGGAAAAAAAACAAATCTTTAACAAGGTAACAGTGATAGTTAATCTTGGATTACACTGTTTTCTAGTAAAACCTCTAAACTCCAATTCAGTAGCACAGTGAAAAAAAAAAAAAATCACATCAAAACAAAGGAAACAAACCCAAAATTATAAAAATGACACCGGGACCCAAAGAGTTAAAAGGAGAAGGCTTCTGAGACTTCTGGCACTTGTTTCTTTTTTTACTAAGAGCTAGACTTCAACTCCTATCTCTAGCTCATCATCCAGTTCCAGTTTCCATTCCTCAAATTTCTCTTTCCAGTCTCCCTCCTTTTTTCAGTGAGCCCTCATCTGACCCTTTAAAACTCTGTAACACTCCCAGAGTACAACTGCATGACTGTGCAGAGATAACCTAAGCATCACAGAACCACAAGAAAGGGAAATCGCACATCATGCTTAAAGCAGACCAAGAGGTGAGGAGGAAACGATGGCAATTTTTTACGACTTTTTTTTTTAACAGAGCCAATTCCCAGCCAAAGCAGGAGTCGGTGCCCCGAGCGGCTGCACATGCTTAGTTTAAGCCAACAGTAAAGCTTTACCCCCAGTTCGGCCCAAACTGCCATCTCGACCATTTTCTCCCTTACCCATGAACTCTGTTGACCATTGCCTCCTCTACCCACAGGTCTACCCACTCCCAACTTCCCGGGCCACTTGCCTCCCTTTTCTAGGGTCTGTCACTAACTACATTAGTTTGAGATTGCTATATCCTGTTGGGTTTTTTTTTCGCTTTAGTTCTCCCTGTTATTCAAGGGAGATCTCCCAAAGCCCTTGCTTTCTTTCATTATACCACTAACTGAAAAGCTTAACTACAACTTTTTTGACTTCCACTGTTACAGCTCTCTGCCCTGAAAAGATAGTGGTAGCAGTGAACACACTACTGCCAGCTTTCCAGATTCACGATTTATTTTGTGAGAGGTAGGTTTATCTTTTGTCATGACTAGAAGACAAAAGAAATTACTTTCCCTCCCTCGGTTTTCTCAAACTACAGATACAGGAACATCCCGCTATCTGTTGCTTCTACAGCTCGAGTTATGTTTTTCCTCACTTAAGACCATGATGTGCTAATCACCACTACTGTTAATTCATTTTTGGTTGAGGATCTCTACTCATTGGCAGAGAACAAGGAGGACGAAGACATAGCTGCCCAGATAGAGGCAAGAAAGTTCAATTAAAAAAACGATTATGAGCATTTGGTCTTATCCGCTTCACCTGAGACCACCTGCTGATGATCCTGCTCCTTCACTGTTCGTGTTATAATACTGTTCTCACTGTCCTGTTACTTTCAAAGTCTCACCGTAAGCCTCTGCACCCCCCCCCTCCCTTTTATTACATCCCTACAGGCAAAACTCCTTCACTGGTTGAATCGTTAGCCACTACGCCTCTCGGCTAACGTCGCGCCCTGCAGAACCCCCCACACGACAAACCACGCAAGGAAATCCTCTGTTAACACGGCTGAGCCGCGACCCACGAAGGCCTCGGAAAACCACGGCCCACCCAGCCCCCGCCGCCCCCTCTCACCTCAGCCCCGCGGCCTGCCGGTAAGCCAGAGCCGGACGTCACCCACCGCTCCGGAAAAGAGGTTTCTCACCCCACGGCAATCCCGGCCGACACGGACCGAGTCCTGCGCTGGGGGCCCAGCCCCTGCCGCTCCCGAGCTCCGGCCCTGCCGCCGCCCCGACCCCCTCCCCGGTCCCCACAGACGCCGCCACCGCCCCCAACTTCCGCTTCCGGCGGCGGGCGGAGCGCGCCGGCTTGTTGACGTATCCCCTTCACCCAATCGCTGGGCCGTGCACGGGGGCGGGGCTTCGGTTGCCAGGGCGCGGCTTCGCGCGGCGTCACGTCGCGCTCGCGGCACCCGGGTGAGGCGGGACGCCCGTCGCCATCGCCATGGTGAGCGCCGCCGGGGCGGGAAGGGGCGGGGGGGGGGGGGGCGGGGCGGCGGGGGGGGGGGGGCG